CAACCGTATAATTAGAAAGTATGTGGAAAACACTTTATATATAAAAAAAGGCTGATTCTTGACGCGCAAGAATCAGCCTTATAAACTCGTTTGGGCCTCTCGTTACCTTCCGCGGAACCCCGAGAAGAACGGCGGGTGTCGCGAGAAACTTCCAACTGTTTTATAGTTCGAATGTGTCAATTTTGTTATTATTATTAGTGTCAAGTTTGTTTGACTAATATAGTTCAAAAGTAGGCAAATACTCCGTAGTAAACCGGTAAGTGACTGCGCACGCCTAGCTATGTCCGGTTGCGATTCTTTTGTCACTGCGCGGGGATATCACTGCTTTCGCACGTCTTCGCGCAGGTTTGGGGCCCTCACCTGCGTTGACGTACGAACACTATGATATTTTCGCGTCTGCGCGTCGATTAAGAATTTGGTACCGGAGCGCTGGGGCACTTTTACTAATTTAACCTCACTTTGTCGCATAGAATTTAATGTAAACACTCACGTCTGCTCCGGCCTAGGTCCAAAGCAGGAGTGAGGTCCAAAGCAGGAGTGGTGACAGTCGCTACCTTTACACTTACAGTGTACCCCCGTTGATGACTAGAGTCCTTTTGGCCACTACATTGTTATTTAGTGACAACAGTTACTGTCTAAGTGACGGTGGTTGTTACATTTGGTGTCAGCGTTGTTTTAGATAGTGTCCGTTTGACATAAAGAAGGTTTCAAGTTTTGAGCATATAGCAGATCGAGTACAAAAGAAAAAAATATCTTGTTTTCTCTCCTCCTAGCATACACAGGTTAATCAAAGTAAAGTAAGCTAACTAACAGTCCCATACCATAAGTTAAATTTTTTTAAAAGAAAATTTTCCAAATTTTGATAGTGTGGATAACAAGTTGGTGGTTCGAGACCCGAAACTTTTAGTTTTCTTTTGTTTTTTTTTCCTAAAAAAAAAAAGGAAAACTATTATTGTTTTATTATTTCACACTCTTGGTAATTTAAAATGTTTAGTTTTTAAAAAGTATATTCTTATTCAATGCATAGTGGCGCATAACGAGGTTCATTCATTTTTATGTTGACCGGCAATTAAACCCCGGAAAAAGTGTCTGCCTTTTTGGAATTTTTTTTTATATTTAATTAAGACGCTATTAAAATTTCAGCGCGAATCAAACACTTCAAATCATATTTAAAAAAAAATCAACTTTGGGGTTGATTTATTAATTATAAACCCTCTCAAAAGTGTCTGCCTAAATTACTAGTATTTTTAGAATTACCTAAACTTTCAATTGTTGTTTGTTGGCCTCTGAATCATACACTTTTTTTGGGTCATATTTTACGACCCCTTTCTATTATGCGCCAGTACCTGGGGCTCGATTCTTGACGGCGATCGTCATCAACGAACGCTATTCTTCAATAAAAGGGAAGAGACAAAATCACAAGGATAAACATTCGGTGTTGCCATAACTACTGACCAATCAAAATACAACATTTTACAGTAAATAGACCGAATAGCCTCGCAGCTGAAGGCATCAACTCTTAAAAAAAGAAGAATAGACTTGTCACTTATTTAGGGTAAAGCATACAGTCGTAGGACATCAGATAGTTATTGGACATCCTCGACCTAAATCCTAAAAACAAGACTTCTAATGATCGAAATATAACTACCGACCGATAGATGTCAAGAGCGTCCTATATTACCTTACTGAAGTAAAGCTCAGGACATTCCAATTTGATTTGATAGTTCCGTGTTAGTGTTGAAGTGCACGTGGTAGATAGGTACGTATTGTTTACTGTTTTGTTTAGAATAACATAATTTTTACAAACGAGTTAGGTAGTTATTTTATTTACTTATATGAATGTTTAGCTATAGGTATAGTGACACAATTTTATGAAGAATAAAGTGTTTACAGGAATTATAACCTCACGTTAAGATTTTAACCCAAACATGGGGTGTCCAATAACTGTATCGAAAATGTGGATTAATTTATGTTATTGGACAAGTGTCCAATAACTGTAATTAATTTAATAACTCAAAATTGTATTTCATTTATCTGGGCATAATTCAGTAAGCATACTGTACTTTTTATTCTACTTTTAGGTTAACAGAAATAGTTATTGGACATGTGTCCAATAACTAAATTCGTAGTGTCCTATAACTGTCTTTTTATTTATAGATGATAAAAATGCCTAAATTAAAAAACTATAACAAAAGCAAAATAGAAAACGCTGTTCGGGATGTTCTGAGTAAGACAGAATCCTATAGATCCGCTGAGCGCAAATACGGAATACCTAAATCTACCATCGAATTTAGAATTAAACATCCAGAACATAAGAGTACATATGGGCCTTCCCCCATTCTTACTGAAGATGAAGAAAGAACATTGGTGAAGTAAGGTTTCTATCTAGATAGTTACTTATTATCTATTTTATTTTTATTTCATTTTTTAGATGGATAACAGATATGGCACGTAAGGGATTTCCGAGAAAAGCAAACGACCTGAAGGGTAGTGTGCAAAACTTCTTAAATAATAATCCTCGAAAGAATCCATTTGTTAATAATCGACCTGGAGATGGTTGGGTCAAAGTATGCTAACAAAATGTTTAAATCAACAATATTTAACAGAACTTTTTTTTCAGGCTTTCTTAAGAAGACATCATGAACTGTCAGAAAGAACCAGCGAATCTGTTACGTCAGCCAGTGCTTGTATTTCTGAAAAGGATATTAGACACTGGTTTCTAGAAGTCGAAAATTATTTAATAGAAAAGGGGTTAGAAGATGTTATATCTGATCCTTCAAGAGTCTTTAACGGCGATGAGTCCGGATTTCAAATTAATCCAAGCACTGGAAAAGTATTTGCCAAGCGAGGCTCAAAAAACGTCTATACAATTGATAGAGGATCTTCAAAAGAAAATATCACCGTGATGTTTACATTTTCAGCCTCTGGTGACACTTGTGTACCCATGATAATTTACCCCTATATGAGATTTCCAGAAAAAATTGCAAAGTCTGTAAACCCGGAATGGGGAATTGGTCGCAGCGCTAACGGATGGATGACGACTGAAACGTTTTACGAATACATAGCGAACGTTTTTCATCCGCACCTCGTAAAAAATAATGTAAAGTTCCCAGTCATCCTTTTTTTAGACGGACACACATCACATCTAAATTATTCTCTAAGTCTTTTATGCAATGAATTGCAAATAGAGATATTTGCGCTCTACCCAAATGCCACAAGAATTTTACAGCCATGTGATGTGGCGGTTTTTCGGCCATTAAAAGAGGCTTGGCGTCGAACAGTTAGACAATGGGATGAAGAACATCCAGGAGAAGTACTCAACAAGGTTACTTTTGCACCTGTGCTAGAAAAAGCTCTTAATTCAAGTATTAAACCTGAAACGCTAGTGAATGGATTTAGAACATGTGGACTCTGTCCATTTAATCCCAATGCAATTGACTACTCAAAGTGTTTGGGGGGAACTATAGCAAAAAACACCGATGAAGACCCTCGATTGCCGACTCCACTAATGGATTATGAAACGTTTGCCAAAATTGTAGGTGAAGAAAAAATTACCCAATTCATAATGTTAAATGAGCACATTCCGGACGTTAGTAGTAACGATTTTCTTTCTCTCTTTAAAATTTGGCAGGATTTTAATAAACAACCTGAAAATAATAGTCAAAATGAGATTATTAAAGAAAATCAAACGAAAATTATAGATCAGAATGAATTGATTAATTATGCTCCTTCTGGGACATCAGACTCACCACCGCCACCACATAATCTCAGTGGATGTTTTGGTTCATGCACCAATAGACAAAATTATAAATACAACAGAAGATGTTTCAATTGATAAAGCTGAAGAAATTTTAACGAAAACGACTGAAGATATTTCAACAAAAGTGACTGAAGATATTATTTCGATAAGTAACACTGAAGATATTTTAACGAAAGTGACTGAAGATATTTCGTCTGAAGATATTTCAACGAAAACGACTGAAAATATTTCGACAAATTCGACTGAATATATTTCAACCAAAGTCTTACAAACAAGCAACAAGCATCGTATAATTGATTCACCAATATTTGGGCAATACTTGACAACACCAGAAAGCCCTAAGAGAAAAGGGAAGAGAAATATAGAAAGAATTCCATTGGCAGTAACGTCAAAAAGATGTCAAGAAATGTTTGAAAAAAAGCTACAATTAAAGGACAAAGTAGAAAGAGATAAGCAAGAGAGAAAACGAAAACGAGAAGAAAAATTAAATGTTAAAAAAGAAGCTGCTGCTAAAGGAAAATCTCAAGTAAAAAAAAAGCGTCAAGAAATTACAAAATGTTCTGTTTGTAAGTTTACTATCCGATCCGGGAATAATGGAATTCAGTGTGATACTTGTAAATGTTTTTTTCATGAACACTGCATACCAAAGACGCACAAGCAATTTATTGTCGATAAAGAAGATACAGATGAGATTTTTCTTTGTCATGTATGCTACAAAGAAGAATCTACTGATAGTGATGCTTCTATAGAATCTAAAAATAGCTTAGATTCCGAGCTGGAAGTGGATGAACTTTATGATGAATACAAGGAATTCATAAAATTAAATAAGTAAATTTCTGTTTTATGGAAATTGGTAGTACCTATGTATTTTTTTGTAACTTGTTTTTGTCCAAAAATAAATATTTTTATTCTTCAGTGATTTTTTAATGGCTGTCCAATAACTATCATAATGTATGTCCAATCACTGTCAAAATCGTCCAATAACTATAATTTTTTGACAATGTTTTAATTTTAATTATTTAGAAAAAATCCAAACCGTTTAAATTAATTTAAAATAATATAATCCTAAAGAACAATAATTGAAATTTCCAAAAAAAAAAAATTGTTAGGAAAAAATGGAAAATAACCAATTTACAGATATTTTAGGGAAAAAAATCTTAAATGTCCAATAACTATATCCTTTACCCTACTTGTTTTCTGATTTATTTATATTGTGTTGTTTGTGGAGTTAAAAAATTAAATGGAAGGAGAGCCAAAGAAAATTAAAATAAATCCCATAACAGGATGCCAAAAAGAAATTATGGTGGAATATATTGGCAGCAAAAAGGAAATGTATACTGGCAAATTAACGGCCACTTATACGAAAGAAAAAATTATAGCCAATTGGAAAGATATATCGAACTTATTAAATTGTGTTCCTGGAGGTCCCAGTAAAGAGTGGAAACAATGGAGAAAAGTAAGACTATTGTATATTAAATATTAATGCATAAATTAAAATTACCGATTTTTAGACATGGGTGGATTTAAAAAAAAACCAAAAGGCTAAGTTTGCTGGCCAAAAAAAATATTCAGAAGGCACAGGAGGTGGACCACCGATACCTTGCAGTCCCACTAATGGTCTTGAGGCAAAATTATTGGAAATAATAACTCCTGTGGCCATAAGTGGGAATGAAATTATTACGGAATCCACTACATTTTTTACAATGCCAGATGTAGCAAGTACATCTTTAGATGTAACTAACATTTTAATTTGTGTAAGTAAAATTTATAAAGCATCTAATCCACATACAGGGTGTCCCAAAACATATATATATATATATATATATATATATATATATATATATATATATATATATATATATATATATATATATATTATGTTTAGTTTGGCGCCGGACGCAGTAATGATTAAAAATGCGTGTTTATGTGACTGTAAAATATACAGGAGGGCGCACTTTTGATAGAAATATAGAAGGAAGTCGTAATGATTTAAAATGGAAGAAAACGTATATTTTAAATTTGGTCAAAAAAAAAAAATATATCATTGAGCACGGGAAAGCAAGGTCTTTAATATATATTAATTAGATTTGCTCCAAATCTACTAATTCTATGAGACGCAGTAACGATGGAACTTTGAATGACGTAGTAATGACAGAGGGATGTATATATATATATATATATATATATATATATATATATATATATATATATATATATATATATATATATATATCACACATTGAAAACAAAAGTGACACTTTACAAAAATTTAAAATTTTTAGAAGAGCACTTTTTGCCTTTTAATATTTTGTTCTAAAAAGTTTACTAATAAAATACAACTCATAGTAATTCTTTTTTAAATTATTTATTAACCAGGAAGGTTAAAAATAAAATATTAATTTAAAAAATAGACCCTAAATGGATTTTTTTGTATAGTGTCACTTTTGTTTTAAAGGTGTGATATGTAGGTATATATGAGTATATATTATTTTTAATATTTAATTCTAGGAAAATGAAACTTCCTCAATAAACGAAAATGAAACATCCTCAATAAACGAAAATGAAACTTCCTCAATAAACGAAAATGTACCTAGTTGCACAATAACCCAACCTCCTACAAAAAAGAGGCCAAGAATGACGAAAACGGGTAGATTAGAAAACTCACTAAAACACAACGAAAGATTCATTAATATGACAGAAAGAAATGGTGAATTTGAAAAAATTATAAGAAACAAAAATTAGAAATATTAACTAGGAATTCAGAAAATAAGGAAAATTTTTGTAGAAACCAAATTGCAGCATTTAATGTAATTGGAAATGCTGCAACAAATATTGCCACTGCACTAATGCAGATTGCTGAAAATGTAGCAATCATTAAAGATCGTCTAACTACATAAAATCTTTGTGTTTACAATGATAAGTTTTTATTTTTGTTTAATTGGATCGTCTCGAGATGTTTATTTTAGTTTTTATTCTTGTTATTATTAGATTTTCCTGTGATGTTTATTATAGTTTTTTTATATGTGATAGTTATAGTTTTTTTTTCGTTATGTATTATTATTATTATTATAGTTTTTCCTATTCGTGTTATATTTTTTTGTGTGATAATTATAGTTTGTTTCCTGTTGTGATTATTATAGTTTTTTTTTCTATTTACTTTTGGTCCAACTAGTAAAATAAATATATAAATGTACTGAACTAGTTTTTTTTTCAATCATAAAATTAATGTAAATGAAATACAATGCTCCTCAAAAAAATCAATTTTGTATTATTCAAATAAAAAATTACAAGAAATTGTTTTCAATTATATTTTGCTGTAGTCGTCTAGCTGCAGCCAAATCTGGATTCACTCTACCTACAGGATCTTGTGCTGCATCCACAGCATATATGCCATAGTCAATATTTTCGTTATGTATTTGTTCCGGTTCTGGAATATTATTTGCTATGCACATATTGTGCAATACTACACAGCTATTTATAATTTTTCCTGCCATTGTAGGTAAGTAGTGCAAAATCCTATGTTTCAAAAGACACCTAAATCTATTTTTCAGAACTCCATTGCATCGTTCAATGACAGATCGAATACTGCACAATCTAGTATTAATTATTTCTTGTGCGTCTCCAACAAGGTTTGGTATTGGAGTTAACAACCATGGTCTTGTGAGATATCCTAAAATATAAAAGGTTGATATTTGCAAATTCTTACAGTTTTTTTAGAAAATCTTAATTTTATATTCTGTAAGTACACGATTAAAAAAATAACATGAAAATTGACTTTACCTGAATCCCCAAGTAAAAAAAACACATTTCTTGGATCATGTCGATATACTCTCTCCATTATTCCTGAAACATTTGACTGTCTCCAAATATTTGCATCATGTGCACTACCTGGAAATTGGGCATTAACATTCATGATTCTGAGATTTTCATCACAAATCTGAAAAACAATAGTAAGTTTATTTTTATAATTATATGAAATGTATAAAAAATAAATCTTTATCAGTACCTAAATAAGAAAGCTTTGAGCTAGACCATAATATAAGTTTAATTTTTTGACAGTTAAAATCAATAATTTTATGTATAGCCCATATAACATTTATTAGGAAATAATAATACCATAAAGTGACTACTTTAGTGTAAAAAAATAACTTACCAACTGAACATTAATGGAATGGTAATTCTTCCTATTGACATACACATGTTCCGGAAAATTGGGGTCGTTAATACGAGGGGCCACTATTCCAACATGTGTACAATCCACACAACCAATAACACCAGGAAATTGATATTTTTCAAAATATCTGAAATATTAAAGTATTATTGGTTAAAATATCAATATTCAAATAACCTAGTAAGTAATTTTACCTAGATCTCAGATCTTGCATTTCCTCCATGTTTCTTGGGAAGTGTACCCATGTTGTTCATTATCTCTGGCCGATTTAAAGCATTGCATACTTCTTCAATGCATCTGCTCATGGAAGACTGGCTTATAGCCACATAAAAGTTTGAGCCAAATTATGTTTTTCATCTTATACAGTTAAGTGAGGCACCATATGGGAAAGTTTTTTATTATGAATTATAAGTTACTGTTCATAAAAAGTTATGTACAGTCGAAACATACAATTCAACCATTAGATATCAATTTTTTCAGTCATGTATGAGGTTCGTCAAAAAATATGAATTTTATTCAAGGGTAAATAAAGTATCTAACTTTATTTTTAATAATATCAAAAATTGATAATATCAAAAATTGATATTAAAAAAAAGTAAATATTTTAACCATAGGTTCAGGACCTCAAAATATTAATATTTTGCTAAATAAAAGTAAGTCAAATATAATCTACTTCTGAGATACATGGTGCTAAAATTTATTTTTCGTTTTTTTTCCAATATTTTCATTAATTTTTTAAATTATTGCCTTGAAATTTGGCATAGTTATATTTTTGTGATAGTAAATTATAAGTACATTATCAATTTTGACATAAGACAAAGCGAGGACTCTATGGGATGAAGAAAACTTATTTGTTTTTATTCTTGGCATTTCTAAAATGTTTTTAAAGTCTTTATGGTACAACAAAAAACATACTTATTTTAAAAGCATAAATTTCAAAAAACTTGTTTTTTAAATTTTCTAGCAACAGTACCTATCTATTTAATTTACTTAACAATATTTTAACATAGTAGGCCTTGCAATTTTTCTAAATATGATGAATTTATGCCATTAAAAAACAAGTATACATGTCTTAGAAATGCCAAGAATTAAAAAAAATAATACCTAGTTCATCTTCAATATGTTAAAAATATTGCCAAAAAAACAAAAAATAAATTTTAACGTCAAGCCTCTGTATTTCAGAAGTAGAACAGTTGACCCAGTGTTATTTAGCAAAATATTACTTTTAAAAAAGTGTCTCATACCTATTATGGTGCCGACTTAAGTAGACACACTGTATAAGATTTAGTAGGATTTGTGACTAGACATGTCTTCCTACTTATATTTCATTTTTATAAAATTAAATAGTAGGTATAATTATTTACCTTAGTTTGAATTGTAAGGGCTGATCTTCTTGTAGCCTCTTGCATAAAAGGAGTAACAATGTTTATCAATTCCCTACAAATAGGCTTCGTCAATCTAAACAGTTTTACAAATTTATCGTCAGATAAATTGAAAGGATCTCCACGGGGAAGAATTTCTCGCCGATTTTCTAATAATTCTTCAGCCTCTTCGATATTTATCTGGATTTCTTCCCACACTATTAATTCATGAATATTCATCCTGAATTCTGACACTCACCACTAACTATATTTATGCGAAATTAATCTACACCAATAATAACAACAATATTTCAAAATATCACTTAAATTCACAATCGACCATAACACATAACCTCATATAAACGAAATGTCACTAATGTCAGTTATATTTGCGTTCCCTGGCCGCGTTCCCCGAAAATAGTCAAGAGAAGCATTTAGAGGAAGGGAGGGAACATCCTTCTATCAGTTTTCAATAGAACGCATCTCAGGAATACCACATTTCTGTTTTCAAGAGAGACACGCCCACTTTCTATCAGCTGTTCTATTCTATTAGCGTCAAGAATCGAGCCCTTGGTGTCCCAGGGTGGGTCTAGTCAACACATGTATATCTGCTTTTCCATCGAAATGATTTCAAATTACAAAATTTCAAAGTGCATTAAATACTTAATGAAATTTGTGTTACTAGCTCTCCAACTATTATGTAACATAAAGTCTTAAGAATATATTGAAGTGGTTCGATGTTAAGATGGGTTCTGAGGTTTGAAAGAACACACACACTGGGTATAGAACTATTTATAATGCCAAATAAGACAATAAAAAAAACTTTAATCTCACAAACAACGAAAGGTTAACGTTTATTGTTGTCACGCTGAACCCTCACTCCTTTGCAGTTCAGACGAAACTGCCCGCTTCGACCGTCTCCCACGCACCACACGTAGCTTCCGCGCACATATCCTCGCGCCACTCTTACATAGGCACGCGTTTGGGACGGACCACTGCACTACCCCCCAACTTAAATACTAGTGACATACATTAGTGTTTAAGTTACAAAATAACAACTACTACCATAGTGGCAGGAAAACAATACATCAAGATAAAAAATGATCGATATAGTGAAGTAACACCGTGAAAATTACAAAACTTCAGGCATAGCCTTGAAAAGCTTAAGATTGACAATATTCTGTTTC